TTAGGAACTTCTAGTGTGTCATGTAGAATTCTAGCAATAATAAAGTGTAAAGTGTAAAGTCAGTGGATTTTTCTAAAACTAATTTTATGGCTTTATTTTAAAAAAATTTCTTCTAAAATATGTATATATATATCTTTATGCTTCAAAGGTTTATGAACATTCTGGCATACCTCAGAAAAAATAGATATATGTAATAATTCAAAAAACATTTTACCTGTATTAACAAAATGAAGAAATAATTAAATTTTTTGGAAACCAGATCTAGCGGTTTCAGGGATCGGTGAAAAGGTGAAAAAGTTTTGGGGGTCAATAATTATCATTAGACATATGCACTTCAAATTATCACGTATTTTACAGAGATTTTAATAATAAGTATACATTTTGTTTACATTTCTGTGAGTTCTGTGCCAATGTTTATCCGCTAGACTTGAAAAAAAATCAAATTTTTCAAAAAGACTTTTTTCAAAAATTTCAAAATAATCAAAAATCTCATTTTTTTAAAGTTTGCAAATTTTTTTATTTTAATTTTCAGTACAAAAGTTCCAGCATTTTACCAAGGCACTAAGCCACATGCCACCAGTTTTTGTTTCAAATACTCGAAGAACTCCTGAAAATGTCTACCGTTTTCTTTATAGTAGGAAATGGATGATTCGTGGGATATTTTCACCTTTAATTTAAATATATAATCAGCTTACGATGGTAAAATCCCGGAATTGATCGGCCAGTATGAAATTCGAAATACCTGGCCATTAATCCCGCTTCTGGAAAAGCAACAGCAACGTGATCGATGCAAATTCGGTTCGGTGGAATCAATATAAAGCATTAACGTATTTCCATAAACATATGAAAGAGATGGCTGTTATCATTCACTTATATAAATTCCTTAAGAATTTTTAATCAAACGACAGTACAGAAACTGCATTTGATAAACGCGCATTATTGTGAACCAGTGAAAGCTCATACCAAGATGCATTCAATACTGGTAATTAGACAAAATCAGTTAATTGGAATGTGATTAGATATAAAATTAGTTTTGTGCTATGCATAGTGCTCGAACTGGATTATTTCAATTTCAAGGGCTAGCATTATATATTAAAGATATTTTCATACAAACGAGTTGTTAAAAGCGATTTTAAAAAAAGTGCCCAAATTAAGGATTATGTGAATGTTGTTGTTTTCGATTCTATAAATATATAACACTGGCCCTAAATAATTGTGTGGTGACTCAATTTTTAGGATATCAAAGATCTATATTTTTGTAATGTACGTTTGAACATTTTATTCGCATTATTCAGTTATTCAAGATCAATACCATAAAATAAAAATATAGATCTTTTTCTAATCTAATACACTGAATAACAGCTAATGAGTAGGGAATATAAATATCTACTAATTACTGTTATTAAAATTTTGTCAACTTACTAATCAAATAGAACAAGTTATGGATTTGAACATACATAGCTCTCTTTCCGTTTTAAATTCATATAAATATTTTATGATTCAAAAATCTTAATTATATATTTTTATTGAAAAAATATTGTCGTTAAGTTTCATACTGATGTGAGTTAGCTATTTATTTTATTTAAATCTCGAAACATCAATTTTTTATAATACACGATGTTGAAGATATCTCCTAGCTTTATCTGGAATAATGTTATTCACCTTATCGTGTACTATTTTATAAATAATTTATTTACATTGCATATACTTATTGAATCTCTTTAATTGCACACCTACATCTTTTTCCAGTAAATCGCATTATTTAACAATAAAACTAATAATATAGTACGTACTAAAAATGCTGATCAACTTTACATGCGCTCAATTACAGAAATAGTTAGCATTGACTTTCAGTTTAAGAATGTTTTCTGACAAATTAATTCATCACAGTCACGTTTTCATAAATTAAATTAATCAAGTCATAATTAACAGGTGTAGATTTTGTATTGTATTGATTATTTATTGTGTATATAAAAGTGCATGAGAAAAAGCTCGATCGGCCTTTTAAAGCATTTGAAACTGTCTACTTAACATTTTATGCATCTATAACATTATGATAATGTGCAACGATAAAAAATCGTTTATAACATTTTATTTTAATTTTTTATAATAATTTTAAAATGATTCAATTGTTTTGTTTTGTTTAAAATAGTTTTAGGGTAAGTTATAGTAATCGTAAAAAATTGAAAATGAAAATTTGTATATATCTTTACGTTCCAGAAGTTTCTGAACATTTTTGATATACCGAAAAAATAGATGTGAGTGTGTGTGTGCTGATACAAATTTTCATCGACAATTTCAAAAATAGTATATCAACCGATTTGAATGATTCAAAAAACATTCGATTCCTACTGATAAAGAGATGCGCTGATTAGTTTTTGGACAAGGCAGGTCCAGCCGTGATTCAATTTTTGAGAGAACGGAGCGTCCGATTTCAATAATACTTGTATACAAAAAATCATACTTGTATTGAAAAATTAAGATATCATTAAATTGTTTAAGAAGGCAGGTTCAGCAGTTTCGGAGATCGAATAAAAAATTTAAAAAAAATGTCATTTGGGGTCAATAATGATCATTAGGCATATGCACATAAAATTATCAGAGATTTTAATAACAAGTATGAATTTCGTTTACATTTCCATGAGTTCAGTATCAATGTTTATTCGTTAAACTGCAACGCGGCGCTTACGCGCTTTGAAAAATATTTAAATTTTCAAAATACAGAAAAAAATCAATTTTCTCAAAAAAGTCATTTTTTTCAAAAATTTCAAAATGCTCATGAATCATATTTTATCAAAGTTTTCAAAAAATTAAAATATTTTTTTTTTATTTTTAATTTTCTTTACTTTTACATTTACTTTTTTTTAGTAGATCCGAACCTCTAGACCTGCCATCCTAAAAATTTAATCAGTTTATCTTCTTAATACAAGTAAAATGTTTCTTGAATTAAAAAACTGAAATAACATTTTTGGCACTTTTTCACCGTATCATCAAAACAACTAGACCTGCCTTTGGTAAAAGCTAATCAGCACGTCTCCTTTCAAAGGAATCAAATGTTTTCTGAATTACTCAAATTCCCAAAATTTTTGTTCCCAAAATCGTCGACGAAAATTTGTATCCGCACACACATACATCCATTTTTTCTAGGCCAAAATATTCAGAAACCTCTAGACTGTAAAGATGTACACAAATTTTCATTTTTGTTTTTTTTGCGATTACTATAGCTTACCCTACGGGAAGTTAATTGTATTTAATTTTAACTCAACATTTCATATTCTATGTGCAAAGAATCAATCCAAAAATTGCTGGCGATTAGAAGTCGCGCACGTCACTGACTAAGCTATTTCACCCCCCCCCCACAACGAACTGGAAATTGATGCCAGATCTGGCTTCGAAATCATAATCATGTACCCAAAATCATTAATAAATATTCGTTCTTGCCCCTGGTCGACTTTATATAGAATACTTCTCAGCTGAATTGAATTAAAACACACGAATAAAATAAAATGAAATGAATCAATACTTTATTAACATTGTAGTGTAAATTATTATCGTTTGCAGATATTTTTGTTCTCGGCAATTTTCTCCGCACAAGTTGTTTATGGTCTGCAACATGATAAAGGAGACTATAGACCTGAAACTTATCCTTATGATGACGGAAAATATAGGCCGATTGGCGACGAAGGAAAATATTATCACGTAAGCGACGGCGAAAGAGGTCCCTATTATTCACGATATGGATTCGGAAAATATACCGGAAAATATTTACCTGATCCAAAAGGAAAATACAAGTAAGCAAATATAGTAAATCAGATAAAAAGGTTTTTTAGTTTAAAAAAATATTAATTAAAACAATAAATTATTCTAGTTTTGATTTTTGTTATTTATGATTTCGCACAATATCGATCTATTCTCTAACAACAAATAATTGCTTTCATTCAACTTAATTATTTTTTTAAATTTATATTATTTTCTCGGCTTTTATAATAAAATATGTTGCTTACAATTAATATTGCTATAAAACTTTGAAATCATTTGAGAAAATAGATTTAATTCTACAAAGAAGCCCAAAGTGCAAACAATTAGTATATTTTCAATGAATAACAATTAATTCGTTAAAACCAAAATATTATGTCCGTAGTTTGATGGAAATTGTTATTTTAACATATTTTGCAATAAATAAAAAAAACTAATGCATTGATATTTTACTTTTTTTTTAATAGGAGGCCTGTCGTAACAACTCCAAAATACGATGAGGGAGGTGCTAGGATAATTCAACAAAGGCATGGATTTAAGAATGACGCATATCATCATTAGTAAGTACAAACTAGAATAATTTAGTTTCAAACGATAATTTTATTAAAATGATTTATTATTAATAACACCAAGCGACAAGATGGCTAACTGAAATAATCATTTTATTCTATTTCGATGAGCATATAAAAAATTGCTTAGTTGTTAATTGATCAAACTTGAATTCGCCTTTTGATTGACCGATGTTATTTTCATCATCTTCATAAATCGTTCCTCTATCATCAAATTTTATTCTATTAAATTAAGTTTTCAAATGAGCGAGAGGAAAAACACATCACATATAGTACGCCTAAAAATTTAGAAAACTACAGGGTCCGCCAAATAACTTTTGTTGAAAATTCTATAGAAAAAAACTACCGAATATTTTCGCAAATTTCTATTTTGATTTGAAAGTACAACCCATGCGGTTAATAATGAAAAATAATTTCATTTAAATAGCCGAACAACTATTCAAACTATTTCATAAATTCGTACAGAATGACTAAAAAAAAACGTTAGATGGCCGGATCCTATAGATTCGATTAGAATTTGCGTCCAAAAACTAATAATTATCTAAAATCTGTTGAGCACGAATTGAATTAATATGCTATTTATAAATATTAGCAATATGTTTCTAAGTAAAAACAAACTCTTGTCCGGCATTGCTGCATCAATAAAAGTCAGCCCTATTAGATAAATTATAATAATAAATTCTTCAAATGTGAATAATGGATCAGCCATCAGGTTACCATCTAAAAATACGAACAAGGAGCCCATCAACTCATTGAACGTAAAGTTTGATTGCTGTTAAGATATGAAAAAAATATATAAATGCTATGTATGTATAGTTTTGCAAATTAAAATAATTCTTACTCACAATACCCGAGTAAATCAATAACTAGCAATAGAATTGCTTTCTCACAAAATGGATGTACACAATCAATTGAAAAAATCAAAAGTCCCGCAAGCATTACAAACATACATTTACATCGTGGAACAAACTTTTCAATTTATTCAAAAGCAAGCCATAATCTATAATAAAAAATATTTCTTCAGACTCTGGTCAACATAAGAACATAACTAAGAGTTCTAAACGAACATAACAAAACTTGTTCGAAAAATTTGCGTAACTATAAGAATCTTAAGCATAGATAAGATCTTAAACTTCTATTGAACTTCTACCTAGAAAACATATGAAGTATTCTCGTACATCGCTAGAAAGGTCTCAAAATTCTTAGTTTTTTTTCCATATATCGCAACTTCGAATTCCACACGGTGTGGCCTACAGGCAAGTTGCAATCGATAAATTCCACTTTTTAAATGACCCACCCTATATAATTTATCTATATAATATAAGAATCAACGACAATAATGAAATGTGAATATTTTTTTTTTTAATTTTATTTGAACAGCAATCAGAACTAATGGGTTCTATGAGCTGTTGTGAGTAAGATCTTACAAACTACGTTTGTTTTATTCCAGATGGCAACCCAAACAGTTGTCACATCTCTGTATGATAAATTTTTATTACAATCTCTGTAATAGGGCAAGTATGGTGCAACAATGCCGGGTGAGGGCTATTTTCACTTGGAAACATATTGCTATCTATATTTCCGAATGAAAATCGTTGTCAATGTTGCCTGACAACAGGCTGCTCGAAGTGGGTATCGAACCCGGGACCTCTGAAACAAGTCCCGTCGCTCTTAACCGCTTACCTACGGGAGAGCCGAAATGTGAATCTATATTTATTTTTACTTTTCCAGTTATGAAACAGAAAACGGTATATTCCACGTCGAGCACGGAAAAATAATAAACGCCGGAACAGATGCTGAAACGATTCACACGAATGGTTTTTACGAATACACTGGTACTGATGGCATGCTGCACAGAGTTGAGTACTCAGCAGGAAAACATGGTTTCATCGCAAAAGCCGCCCGATTGCCGGCACCGTGACTTCCAGCACACCCCGAGCAGTCCATGAGATAAAGGTCAAAGAATTAGTACCTCCGCCTCTTCCAATTGTGACGAAATCGGAAGTAACATCAACTACTACTACTACGGAAGCAACAAAATCTTCGGAGGAAGAAAACTAAACGGCAATATTATAAAATAATTTGATAATTTTCGGTATACGTCTTAGATTATTCAATTAATTATTAAGTATATGAGTATGTTAGAAGTCTTTAAATTTAGGTTCAATTGATAAGTTAGATGACAAGAAACAATTTCAATTATTGTGATATGACTGATACTAAACGAAAATAGAAACTAAACGTATTTTTATTTTGGATGGAATTTAATATATACACACCATATGCACACACACATATATATACATATATAAATATATATATATATATATATATATATATTTAATTTTTTTGTTCGACATTGGAACATTCAAAATGTTTATTTGCAGCCGAAGTAAAAAACAAATAATTATTATGTACATTTCGACACTGTACGTGTGTCACACAGCACTTTAAATAAATTCAAACCAGGAAAACAAATTTAAATATATTATTTATTTAATGGAAAATAAATAAATAAAATATAATAATAAACTTTTGATCTTAGTCACATGATTAATTAATTACAAATCAATTATATTTTACATTACATATTATTTATTATATTTTACAATTTATTACGCATGTAACTAACAATATAATTTTATTATTAACTTCCCGTAGGGTAAGTTATTGTAATGGGCCGAAAATCGGAATTGAAATTTTTACATTTCTCGACGTTTTTGAGGTTTCTGACGTTTGGCTACCTACAGAAAAATGGATGTGTGTTGTGTGTGTGTTTGTGTGATGTATGTATGGATACAAATTTTTTCGTCCACATTTTTCGGCGTACGGATCAACCGATTTGAATGTTTAAAACATTCGATCCTATTAATAAGGAGAAGAGCAATTATTTTTGGCAAAGACAGGTCCAGCAGTTACGGAGATAAGGATCAAAGAGTGCGAAAATAGAAATCGAGTTTTTGAGAGAACGGCCATCCGATTTGAATGATCTAAAAACATTCCATTAGTAATGATTGGGAGAAGGGTTTATTAGTTTTTTCGCAAAGGCAGGCCCACCATTTCGGAGATACAAGCTAAATGTACAAAAAATGGCAGTTTTGGGAGAACTAAGCGTCCGATTCAATTGATTCAAAGAACTTCTGCTTGTCTTAACAAAATAATTAATTTTGGAAAAAAATTTGTACCATTTTTTTTTTTTTTTTTTTTTTTTTTTTTTTTTTTTTTTAATTTTTTGTATATCGAAAAATAATTCAGATTTTATTTTTAATTCTGACTATAGTTCTAATATACTTTAAACAAATAATTTCATTCTGCAATTCAGTTTATATAATTATTATAAATATTAGACAATATACAATATTTATAATAATCTATTTGAAACATTCAATATTCCTCGAACGTTTCGTACGGTACGGGAAGTTCCAGCAATTTGCCTTAAGCACGATGCCACCCACCCCACTATTTAAATTTAAGTTTATTATTTTTGTTTTATTGGTTTTGTTTTTTCATTAACATATCTTTATTTTAAATGTTTTCGTGGTTGAATTTATTAACGTGCTGAATTTTATGTCACATACAGTGTACATAATAAATGGTTATTACTTGCTTTTTGTTTTTAGTTCTGGCAAGTAAACATTTCACAAATACATAATACACATTTTTCTGCAATAATTGTCTACCTCAAAAATAAGAACAATATTTTCATATTATTGAAATGCCGCCACTTTTTACTATCCAGCTGCATAACAATAACAATTCAACGGTAGTGAATGGACGGCTCTTTTTAACCCCTTAACCGACTTTTATACTCAAAATGTTGGGCCAAAGTAGTTCAAGCCGGCGCAGCGTCTTGACCATTTTTTCCCATCAGTATATATCGTCACTTTGTACTCCATTTAATTCTCATAAAACTTCAAAAATTTTCATAAAGAAAGTTTTCGAGAGAAGTTGTAAAAAATACATAATCTATGAATTTAATCGCAATAAGAAATATAAATATAATCGACGTTGATTAAAAACAACGTCTACTGAATCGATTCCTGGAATATCAATCACAGAAAGTGAAAAATTAGTACATATAACATTAAAAATATTTCTGAGCTCGCAGGCTTTTAGGCCGGGGCCATCTTTAGATCGGGGGCCATATTTTTTTTATTATTCAGCGCCGCCCCGGCCCTATCCAAAATGGCTCCCATTTTGGATACCAATGTTAGATAATCGCAATGTAAACAACATAAACATTCACAAAGTCTGATTTCAGAAATTTATAACTAATTAATTCAGCATTTACAATTTATCGAATGTCCATTATCAAAAAATTCAATATTTAAAAAATTCTATTATTACTCATCCAAATTATTCATTATCACATAATTTGCACAATAAATAATTTTCACACAAATTTTAAGGTCCATAACATTCTACTGAAAAATACCAAATAACAAGTCAATAGTTCAATAAGACTGGCTAATACGATATAATTAACTGACATAATTCACGTAAAAATACCGGCACTCGAACGCGCAAAATGAACATTTACATCATACAACACTGGACACTGATCGACGTGTTACTCGAAAATTTGCACTACTGAAATCCTGAGATTGTCCCCCTGTATGTCTGCAACAAAAACGAACAAATTTGCCAGATGATAAAATTTAACCTTTTACGATAATTTGTTGTTATAA